GCAGAGGTTTGGCTATATCTGCAAAGTTCTTCACAAATCGCCGGTAGTAGGAGCACAAACCCAAAAATGCTCTAACCTGCGTCTTGTCTTTTGGAACCGGCCAATCCTTGACAGCGGCGATTTTCTCTGGATCCGCGCGGATACCTTCTTCCAATACTACAAACCCCAAAAAGTTAACTTGCCGTTTGAATAGTGAACATTTCTTCGGGCTCAACTTGAGGTTGGCACTCTGAATCTTCATGAGCACGCGTTCCAGGTTTTGAAGGTGTTCCTCAAACCTACGGCCTACGATGATGATGTCATCCAAGCAGACCAGACAGGCATCGCCAATTAGCCCGGCAAGTACAAGTTCCATCAGCCTTTCAAACGTTGCTGGAGCATTGCACAACCCAAACGGCATTACTTTAAATTGGAACAGACCCTTTCCCGTCGAGAACGCAGTTTTCTCCTTGTCCTTGGGGTCAATTTCAACTTGCCAGTAGCCACTTTTTAGATCCAGCGTGCTAAACCACTGCTCCTGTAAGCATGTCCAGTGTGTCATCAATTCTTGGCAAGGGATAGCTGTCCTTCTTCGTAACGTCGTTCAGACGGCGGTAGTCAACACAAAACCGCATACTGCCATCCTTCTTCTTTACCAGAACCACTAGTGAACACCATGGACTAGAGGAAGGTTCAATAACACCATCCTTTACCATTCCTTCAATCATGGTTTCCACTTCCTTTTCACGTGCTACCGGCAATCTTCTTGGCCGCTGACGGATAAGCAATTCTTCTCCTGTGTTTATTTTGTGTTGAACTAAGCCAGTCTTTTCCTATGTCAGCATCGTTTGATGAGAATACATCGGCATACTTGAGTAACAACTTCTTCGCCTTGACCATTTCGGTCGGGGAGAGAACGCTGCGACAGTCTTCCAAAAGTGAGGTCACTCTCGTTTGTGCATCCTTGCTGGAGGTCTCACTCGATAGATATTGGCATCGTCGTAACCAATCCACTTCCTCACAAGTACCAACCAGCGTGCCTTTTTCACAAGTACACAACGGTGAGCTTGCCCAGCGTTTCGAGGAAGACTTACCGGAACAATCGTTTCCGATCTCGGCGGAAGAACAATATTCTTAATGCTGTACACGTTCCCTGGTAACGCACCTTCCATAAAAAGTTCCTCCTGTCCACATTTCAAAACACCTTGCTTAACATCGATCTCACAATAATTATTCCTCATAAAGTCCAGGCCTAGGATGCAGTCGTCCATTATATCAGCGACGATGACATTATGCAGGTAGATCACGTTGCCTAGCTTCAACTCCATCTCCTTCTCTCCACGGACGGGTATACGCTGACCGGTGGCTGTTACCAAATTAATGCGTTCTCGGTTGTATGCGAAATCCCCAAGGAACTGACTTATAAGTTGGGAACTAATAACCGTACGAGAGGCTCCAGTATCTATTGTCAGTTTACACAACATTCCGTTGACCTCGCCCTTGATGATTAGACTGTTCCCATCATGGGTTTGTGAGATCGAGATCCGTGGGGCTCTTTTAACATCAGCCAGCACCCGCCCCGCAGTTCTGGCTTTTACTCGTTTCCCTGCTGCTGCTCGACGGTGCTGTTGGCCGCACTACCCTCCTGCGATCGTTCAACTTCCCTTTCTAGGGTTCGCTTAGGGCAGCTGGATCGAAGATGGCCCTTTTCCCCACAGCCATAGCACCTAGGGCTGTATCCTTTGTTGCGGTCGCGAACTGTAGCTGCTGCAACCTCCCTGACGCGATGGGAACGATGATCCTGCCGCACGGCTTCCACCTCCAGTGCATGGGCCAAGGCGTCCTTAAGCGTCTCGTAGTGCCCGAGCCTCACAGCAGCTCTGACTTCCAGGTCGCGGATGCCGTCGATGAATGTCTGCACCAGGTTCCCTTCAATGAGCGCAGGTACAGACCGGTATGCTTTTCGCACCAGCTTCTCCACTTCTAGAGCCCACTGCTGCAGGTGTTCGTTGATGCGCTGCACACGATCTTTAAGCTGCGCACGTAAGACGTGTTCCAGGTGAGCGTCGCCATATCTCGCCTCCAATGCCTCAAGGAGTTGCTCATAAGTCACTTCCTCACCGAGAGCTTCCAGAACTGTTACGGCCTGGTCGCGCAGGCCTAGTGTGAGAGCAGTCATGGCCTGACTTTTATTCCAGCCGTTCGCCTTCATAACAGCCTTGAACTGGATTTTGTAGGCTGACCAGGAAGAGGTACCGTCGAACGGTGGCACCTTGAACCCACGTAGCGAAGGTGTTGTAGCTACTAGGGGAGCTGTAGCTCCATCTCCAAGTTTGAATTCGTACAGTGATTTCTTCGTGTCAGCCATTACGTTGTCAACCCGATGGTTTACTTGGTCGATTCGGGTTTCAGCTTTCTCGATTCGGTTTTCAGCTTTCGCGATTTGGGTTTCAGCTTCCGACAGGCGGTTGTCATGCTGAGCAACCCTATCCTTCACCCCTTTATCTCCTTCCCGAAGGTAGCGTGAATGTCCTTCATGAGGAGCATCTGCTCTTCCAACCGACCGGCCTGTTCCTCTTGTGCGCCCTGCAGCTGCTCCTTCAAACGACGAACCTGGTCTTCCTGTCGGCAGGGTCCGCCCCGTAGCTGCTCTTCCAATCGGCGTGCCTGTTCCGCCTGCTGGCGAACCTGTTCCTCCTGTCAGCGAGCCTGCTCCTCCTGCTGCTCTTTCAACCAACGGGCCCGTTCCTCCTGTCGGCGAGCCTGCTCCTCCTGTCGGCGAGCCTCCTGCAGCATCACCATCAGAGCACCTAAGTCAGGTGCTGCAGATGTAGGGGCTACTGACGGGCCTGCAGCCGGTGGCTGGCCCTCCGACGTCTGCGGCGTTGCACCACCAAATCTTCTTTGGTCCGTCTTCTGCTGGCGTTGACTTCGGGTACGGACACCCTCCGTTTCCTCCTTAGGTAAAATCGGCATGATTTTATCCCACTTCTGACACCAATTGTTACGAGCTTGAGGTTCGTGACAATAAAAATTGCCGATAAGTTACCTAAATTAACACTTTAGTTTTCTTTACACAAATTTAAACTTAAAACACTAATAATTAATCACACTGATTCACTTTATTCCGCTCCGAAGCTTCGCTTGTCTCGCCAAATTCAATACTTCACCGATCGCACCTTGCAGCGCCTATAAATACACATTAGTACCGAATCATCCAGAACATTCAAGTAAATGCACCAATCGACAAAGCGCCGAAAGTTCGAGAGTCAGCTTCCAGAAGCTTAGTTCTTTCTTTCGACAACGGATGGCGCTGTCGGTTTAAAGATTAGTGATGTCATTTTCTGGAAAGCTCTCCCTTCGCTCCGTTACCCGACACTAGATGGCGCTAGTGCCAGATGTCAATTGTCAACTTAGCCGCGCAACAATATGGTGCTATGCGGTGTGCTATATTAACCACCATTAGTTAGGTCAGTACTCCTATTAGTTTGTGGTTAGGTCCAATTAGTCAGTAATCTATGGGTCCAGTCTTTCTGTATAGTGTACATTTACACTACTCTATGGTGTATATGTTAATCACAGAGTACTTTTTTATATATAGGAAATGTTAATCTACTCTATGGTCCAGTCTGGTCCAGTCATAGATTACTGACTATATACTAGAGAGTAGAGAGGTCCAGTCCAGGCAGTGTTGCCGTTTTAGCGACTTTCTCGCTAGATTTAGCGGATTTTAACAATGTTTAGCGGATAAAAAAATCTTTTTTGCGAGAAATAATTATTTAGCGACTTCTAGCGACATTTGAACTTTTGAGATGGCGATTTTTATATAGTAATTCATTTCAAATAAGTCATTTATCTTATGTCCAATTTTGGAATCTGTATATATAATATAATTTCACGGGAATTCCTGAACATAAACTAACAATTCAATGTCGTTCATTCACTTTCATCTGTTTCATCATACAAAAATGCAGCAGGAGTAAACATATTCGAAGATTTATGTAATTTTCCAATATTAATATTATCACTACCGCATTCAAATGCAGAATTTGAACGCATATTTGGTGCTATGAATGTAGTTAAAAGCAAACTGCGAAACAAGCTATCAGATAAAACTTTTAAATTCCATTCTTCTGATTATAAATGAGTTAAGGATTTAAAAAAAAAGAATTGCGCAACGTATGATATTCCTGAAGATATTCTCAAACAAGTGGGTAAAGGCAAACCAAAGATGGGAACTGGAGACATTGGCGAAGCTTCAACTTCCGCTGAAATTCTTTTTGAAGATCTGGATCCATACTTCGCTATTAATTTTGAAATTTAGGTAAAAGAACGTACTGAGCTAATTGTTTTATTTTTAATTAGATGACTAATATTTAAACGTGGTTTAAAGCTTAAACATTTATTTTTTTACAATATTTTATTATTTTGTACATAAATAATTTTTGTTTTGGTTGTCATGTCATAACCTACACTATAAATAACTGATTTATATGAAATAGATTCCGCTCTTTTTAAGGTTTTTCTGAATTTATAGATTTAGATTTTCGGTATTCATTGTATACCATTTGGCAAGATTTTTCAGTTAGCCCAATGGTAGCACGAAAATGTACCTAGGGACATCTAGCGGATTTTAAGAAAAAGAAAAATCCTGTTTCTGGCGGATTTTTTCTGTTAGTCTAGGGACTTTAAAATATGTAGAACGGCAACCCTGAGTCCAGGCCTTGCTACATATTTATTTATCTATGGTCCAGGCGAGGTTAGGCCAGGTTAGGCCTTGTCGGTTTTAAATTATTAATTCATATAGATTTTATGTTGTATTAAAAAATATAGTTAAATAGTTAGTTGACTTCAGTGTAAAATTACGTGCGGTATTGATTAGTACAAATACCACTTCATTATTTACTTTTTATATAATATGTACCACTACGGCTTAGAGCCTGTATCGTATGTACAATTTAAATTATCCTTCATAGCTTGACTGTTGCTCACCTAATATGAAAAAGGCCAAAGAGAAGACAATGGAAGGTGTTAATAGCATAACACCGAGTGATTACGTGGACGCTTTTAGTTATATTAACGAACGGCCAGTGGATGATATATCCTTGGAATTTTTTTACAAGCCGCATACCATAACCCTTTTAGCTGTATCAATTGCAACAGTTATATACACGGCGTTTGTAAGGTAAATCTGTATGTTGCGTTAATCGTACTATAAATTTCTCGCTTTTAATCGGTTTTAACCGTGTAGTTGCGGTGTAAGAATTTCCACTACTCCATATCGTCCCGGTGGTATCGTAAAAGACGACATAGGAAAACTAAAACAGCAGTAGGAAGCAGGAGATAGGAAGCAAATCTTCCTGAGAACAACTCAGTCATAAAAAATTGTAATTACTCAACCCTGTGCGAAGCATGGCAACAAAGATAAAATCACGTCTATGAGGCAATCTTTGGGGAGGCCTGTATTCAGCGGTGCGCTGTTATAGTCTGTTATGATGAAGAATCAGCTATATATAGTTTAATTTATTCCACACGCTTTTCTCACACTGGGAGATTTATCAATAAATTCCATGTTTAGTATTTTAGATGCTTTTCTACATTCAGCTTGAAAGTATTATTACAGGATTCACAAGTCTACTGCTGAATGTAGGCTTTCCACAAGGAATGTCACAAAACACAGCCCTGAGCCACCTGCATCCATTGGGTTTTTGCATCTTACACCAGGATGTCACTCTATCTAGTGAGGGGCACCTTACACATTGCTTATGTATGGGTATTAAGGTGCCGCTCGAGAACATTTCTTCCCCACTGGTTGTATGTTCATTGAGCAATATGGATGACTCATTACCACTTCAGCTTACTTATCTGTTGGGCAATGTTGGATACTCTGGTTTTACTATGGGTATCCTCATTTCTTAGTCTATCCTGTGGAGAGACTTTAAGCATAGCCCTCTCTATAGCTCAGTGAGTGACCTTGAGTTTCCTCTTATGGGCAGCAGTGAAGGACTACTTCTCAGACAAATGCTCTGATTTTAACATTCTTGGTTTCATGTTTTGAGTTATGACAAGAAGATAGTATCTCGCGAATGCAGCTTAGCTGAGTAAATGAAAGTATTGTACAAGCCCTTGCCATGAACATCAGATATTGTACCTAATAAGGGCTAAATAATCTTCTGCTCACCAGATGTCATTCGTTGACACTGGGGTGATATTTTTTTGTTATGCAAAGTAATTTAATTGAAAAGTCAGTTTTAAATAAAAGTTAATCAATTTCTAGAGTACTATATTATACATAATGCCGGTGCTAGTGGATTGTTCTTTAATGATTTGCATATTTGAAATAATTTTTTAATTTTTCTACTTTCATGAATAGCTGTTTTATGTTTTGTTTATTTTTAATGTAATATATAACTAATAGTGCGAAAATAAACATAAACCTTATCATTATTTGAACAAATTAACTTCCCAGCTATGAAATCTGTCTTCATTTTAAGTGGCACTGCCCTGGTAGCAGAAAGAGTTATGGATGCTCGCATTGTTTTCTCAATACCTAAAAGATTTGTACAACAATGTAGAAATCAGTTTATATTTAGTGATAAAATATATTTTCACAGAAAAAGTCAAGTTAGAGCCTATATACATCCTACTGTTGTACACAAGGCCTCTTCTGATTTCTGATAGGATTATGGACTAATTAGTTCACTATGCTGTTTCAATATGCTTAAGTAAAAGTTACAGCCTATATACGTCCCACTGCTGGGCACAGGCCTCCTTTCATTTCTGAGAGGGTTTTAGGGCAAGGAATAGTCTGCCGCGCTGCCCCAATCCGTGTTAGCGAACTTCACATGTCTTCGAAATAATTTTTTTCTTATTTCTCAGACATGCATGTTTCCTCATGATGTTTTCCTTCACCGCCGAGCATGTGGTAAATCAGCACTTAAAATTGCAATTAACAATTTCATTGGTGCTGGCGGGGATCGAACCAGGTTTGCTCACGTATTGTGAATTTACAGCAAGCGCTAACCATCTGAGCTATCACGGCTCCATGCTTAAGTGAACATCACATATTCTTTAAAAATTTTATTCTTTAGATATATTACACACTATGGTTTCCCTTAACAATGGGCATGTGGTAAACAAGCACTTTAAATTGCAATTTAAATTTTCTTTGGTACTAATGAGGATTCATCATAGGTTGCTGGTTACTGTATGTATAGACTAACTAGTCCTATATACTCATAAATTTCAACCAGACCTGTAAATAATATTGGTAGGTGCAACTCGGTTGAATTAAGTTTGCACTTGGTGCGGATGACGTAACAACAAAAATAATCTAATAACTAAACAAATAGGAGATGAAAATTAAGATGTGAGTGTCAGTAGCAATGATGCAAACCGTACTGATGTGATTATATTATGAATGCGGGCTTGAGAGCGGAAAACGCAGGGTTCGCACATTGCAGTGAGGTGCAAATTTAACTTTTTTTATTTTAAAGAATATTAACAATGCTACAAAAATTACTAATATTCCCCTTAACCACTCTTGGTAAGCTTAAATTGCTTGTGTTACAAGTGGTTCATGCTAGTAGTCGAATGGCGGATTCTTTCACACAACCTTTTTGAGTTCGCGGTCCACACCCTGCCATTAGGCTACTGTCGCTTCAAGTTCAAGCTACTTAACAAGTTGTATATATTTTTCAAATAATCCATCTATTCCTAAACTTTAATTTTAATTTCTATGAATATATTGGTTTATATATTAATCTATTAAAATTTTCAGTTATGAATTACTTTTGTATTACAGTTATGAAATGATATCTGTGATGTCTTCTGTTTCAGAGATGAATCAAGTATTCAAGACAACATCTGGGCTGGGATTTGCTGTGTAGTATTTTTTTTCCTTATTGTATCAGTACTTACTTTTCCTAATGGACCTTTTACAAGACCACATCCTGCAGTTTGGAGAATCGTTTTTGGAGCTTCTGTGCTTTATCTACTTGCACTATTATTTCTGCTTTTTCAAAGTCATTCCACTGTTTATGAAATAATGTATTGGGTTGATCCAAATCTTCGTAACTTCCACATTGACATGGATAAGGTAGGAGTAATAATAATATATATCTATATTTATGTTGATTAAAGATGAATGAAGCAATGGATTATTACTTGTGTCTTATTTTAATTGAACTTACTTTCTTTTATAAACATTAAATAAGGATTTTTTTCAGGAATATGCAGTTAATTGCTCTGATATTTCCATTGCAAAAGTTTGGTCTCATGTGGATGTTTTTGCTTGGGGACATTTTTTAGGCTGGACATTTAAAGCAATACTTTTTAGACATACGGGCTTATTATGGGCTATTTCTATAATGTGGGAAATCACTGAAATAGCTTTTGCTCATTTGTTACCCAACTTTTTAGAGTGTTGGTGGGATTCACTTATATTAGATGTATTAGTGTGTAATGGTTTGGGTATTTGGTGTGGGCTGAAAATTTGCAAAGTCTTGGAAATGAGAGAATACACATGGGTCAGTATAAGGTAATCTATTTTTGAGTTTATAGTCTTGGAAAGTTATGATAGTATATTTTTTTATTTATTTCACACTGGTAAGGTGGTAAGCATTACTTAGTATGCTGCTGTGTGAAAGGTTAAGGAAAATAAGGGATAGGGAGTGGAGGGCAACCTCCCTCCTCTGAGAATCCCAGCAATGATTACTGTGTACTTATAGAAAAGTACAGCAAAAATATACAGTAGGCGCTCGATAATCCAGCACTCGATTTTTTCCCTTTATACCGGATTGTCGGAACTGCCGGATTATCGAATTTGTATAGGAAGTAAACTAGATCCACGGTAAAATACTATTTTAATATGGTTAGGTGAATTTTTTAATAAAATAAAACTACGTATGTATTTGTTTATGTTAAGTACGAACTGCCGAGCGAGAGAAGAGAGAAACTACTCGAACAATTCAACCCAACCGCTCTGTAGTCCGGCGTTCAGTTGTGTAAAATGTCGGATTATAGAGCGGGCTACCTGAGTCCCAAAGTGCCGGACTACTGAGCGTGCCGGATTGGCGAGCGCCGGATTATCGAGTGCCTACTGTATTAACTATCTAGTGACTAATGATACCTAATACATCAGTTAATGCATAGTGAGTGAGTGTCTAATAGTGATCACTAACAGATTCAACAGAAATTATATCATCATCATTTCATCCCATTACAAATCTGCTGTTGATCATATGGCTCCCACAAGGAACGCACAAAGCAATAAAAAGTATAAGTATATAAAGACAATTATTTATACCAAACTAAACTATATGTGTAGTTTACCTTTTATATCAAATATTTATTTTGTGGTTCTGTTTATATTAAAACATCATAATTTTTAGGGATATTTCATCAACTACTGGGAAGATTAAAAGAGCAATACTTCAATTTACTCCTGTTCAATGGACTCCAGTTAGATGGTTGGACCCTAATTGCACATATATGAGATTCTTTGCTCTAAGTCAACTTGTTGTATTTTGGCAAATTTCTGAACTTAATACATTTTTCTTGAAACACATCTTCGAAATGCCGCCGTCACATCCCCTTGTAATCGCACGCTTGTGTCTCATAGGAGTTATTGTTGCTCCATCAGTCAGGTAAGATTTTAACAAGAATGGATTTATTTTAACTTCATTTCACTATATGTATATTTTATATTATATGAACATTAATTTTACTAACAAATGAATAACCAATTAGCTGTTAATAATGTAGCTGATTAAAGTTATTCTATTGGTCTTCATAAAGAATTTTATATAATTATTATATGTTATATAAATGGCATTAATATATTGTGCTTAAACTTTGTGTACACACAGGGAAGTTAGCTGTGAGAACTTGCGCAGGTACACTCAATAGAAACGCAAAATACAATTTTTCCATCTATCCATTACAGCTTATAAAAGTCCACTGCTGAACATAGTCATTCGAAAAAGTATTTACTCTTTGAGAACATCCTTGGCTATTTTTTACAATAAATGCTATGGAAAGGGCATTCCCCTAAATAATTGAAGATTCCAAAAGTATTGCCTGTGTACAGGAAAGGTTCAAATTACTTCAAATACTACAGACCCAGAATACAGCTCATATTGCAGAAGCAATCGAGTGGAACTATGGCTTCAAAGCCTGCCTGAGATCTGTCTGTGAGAAAGAGCTAACTGTGAAGCTGAAGATCGAATGTGGTAGCATCGTTTCCGGGACACCTGAGATTTTGAGTGAGATTGAGAGGTTCTACAGGCAGCTGTACATGTCATCGTTGGAGTCACATGCAAGTAACTATACAAGAGCAAGTCTTATCCAACACTATTCTGATGATATCTCGGATGTCATTCTGAGCGAGATTAGAATGGCTCTCCAGCACCTTAAAACGGTAGGGCCCCAGGGGAGGATAGAATTAGGTACAGTAGAACTTTCGAAAGCGGGTGGAAAACAAATACGTAAAGTCATTCCGAAGCTCTTTAATTCCGTACTTCATAGTGACATTACTAAGGAGCAGTGGAGCAGAAGTGCGGTGGTGTTGTTCTTCAAGAAAATATTTCCCTTCTGAGCCGCGTCTATGTGCTGTTTTCGAGTAATTAATAATTGTCTAAGACAAGGTGATGTTATATCCCCGAAACTCTTCACCGCTGCGTTGGGAGACATTTTCAAGCTACAGGACTAAAAAGGATATGGTACTAACAGATTTGCTGGAGGACTTAAGCACTATGCTCAATGACGTCAATAGTGTCTCCTAACGGATAAGTCTTAAGAAGAACACAGTCTATATTAAACCTATTCTAGTAGTTGTTGGGACCACTACACTTGAAGTTCTTGACGATTATGTTTACCTAAGACAAATAGTCCGACTAGGTAAGTCTAACGTCGACCAAAAGGTCAATCGACGGATTGAAATCGGCTGGGCAGCATTCAGCGGCGTTATATAATTAATTTTAACAATTAGAACTAATATTTGCCTCTATGAAATGGATGTCGGCTAACAGATATGGTATCAATGAATCGAAATGTGTTTTATAACTTTTTGAGAGTAAAAGGTGACTGGTATTAGAGGCTCCGTGGCGCAGTAACTTAAGGCCGGTTTACATTTTGAGAAGTGACAAGTGAGAGTGACAATTGACAATTGGCAAATGAGAAGTGACAAGTGCGTATTTTATTCCCACTTATCACTTGGCACTGCCTGTTCACACGCTCTAAGCACTTGTCATTTGTCAGTTGCACTTGCCACTCACACTTGTCACTTCTCAAAATGTAAACCAGGCCTTAGCAATATGCTGTTCCGAGTCTGGATGTTTGTCCCTGTGAAATGTATGTTTGTAAACTACTTCCACAATACAGGAAACAATCCTAGTGTGGAGGAAATATTTAAAAAAAGTTTTATCTGAAACTTTTATTTATATCTCTTATAGCCTATGAGGTAGCCATTAAACCACTTATTTTTCGGCGTCTTTTCGAACGACAAAGCCTTTGCTCTCGGCTATTTTATTTGAAAAACATGCAGGATTTAAAACTGACAATATTTTCTAAAGTGTTATTTATATCTTAATAGCATTAAAAATAGGAGAGATAGAACCATGGACAATAACCTCTCGTATATAATAAATAGTATAATAATAAGGGTGGCAATTGAACATACAGTCTTAATGAATCCTCGATTAAGAATCAAAATGTACTTAGATGCGCCTGATACCCTTGCCTGAGTACTAAAATGTATTTTTGTGTTGTGTATGTTCAAAGTAGACTTTTATATTCCGTAATTGATAGGAATGGATTCAGACTTCCTCATCAGTTCATAAAAGTCCAATGTTTAAAAACGTAGTAAGCCTCAATAGACAAGCCCATGCGGAGGCAAACTGATTTCGTTTATTTAGTTGTAAAGCAATATAGTTAGAAGTGTAAATTTGCTTTAATTGTCATTACTGGCAGGCGTTTTGACGATCATAGTATCCAGTAAGAAGGGTCTCTGGTTCTCTACATTCATCATATAAAATACAGCACATTTGATTCTTGATAGAGGATAAATGTTTATATGAGTATATTGGCCGCAGTATCCACTTACCATCACATGGACTGTGTTCTCGTATGTCAATGTTATTCTATAAAAAAAAACATAATACGTAATATATTTAAGAATCTATACGTTATTTACTGCTTTGAAGTTAGAATTTATTTGTTTCACTAGGTACATTCTCAAGAAAGATGACATGTGATATACAGATATTTTAAAGTTATGTGTTATTCTTTTAGGCAGTATTATACATATGTAACAGATCCAAGGTGCAAGAGAGTCGGTACACAATGTTGGGTTTATGGCGCGATTATGGTAACAGAGTCCATGTTATGCATTAAAAATGGCAAAGAACTCTTCGGACAAGCTCAAATGTGTAATGTCATTGTATGGCTAGTCATTCAAATTTTAGTGTCAATAGGTTGTGTCTATGGTGTAGTGTTATATCATCAATATTTTGAGGTATGTTTCAATATCTTTTTACACTACTTATTTTACTTATATTTTTACCAATGTGTGAAAATGTTAACAATGTTTCTTTTTTTAGCCTACTAAGGACTCTGCTCCAGAGACTCCAAAAAAAGCCAATTAGAATTAAAAGGTACAGTAACAATAATATAAAAAATATTATTACAAAAAAAAAAGAGATTTTTAAAGATTTTATGCTACTAAAAACAACAAGTGGTAAGAATAAAAATTTTGTACAAACCATTTCAATATAAATAAAATGAGAACATCATCAAATTAATATGGGACCACGTTCTAAAGTATTCTTACTATCTAGTATAATGTTTAATCCTGTCGGGCCGGCTTTCTGTGTAAATAGAATGCCATGAGGTATGACTACATTTTCAATATAAATTATTAATAATTCATTGCTGATAGTGTGTTGCCGGGCACTCTGCGCATACATTTTGTAGCAGACCCTGCAGCCTGCAAGAAATTTGCCTGACCAACCGGTTTTAAAATCAGCCCGATTTCGCCAATTTGTTAGATAATAATTTTTGATTTTGTTTGTTATATTTTTGTATCAAATATTTACGTGTTATTTGAGATGTTATTGAGTAACTGTTTTTAAAATTTTCGTTTTTCTGTCTATCCGAGCATATCTTCAAAATAGCTGAACCGATTATAATAAAATTCACGAACGAATAGAGAGTAATACCAGGAGTGATCTAGACTAAACTTTATCCAAAAAGTTTAGTGACTTTATTCAAATGGAATATAGTGAAGATTAAAAAATGATCTTTAATGATTATCTTAAGTCTAAATAACGCCAAATCAATAGATCCCAACCAGGCAAATCCTCACTAGTTATAGATGTTATTTTAAAATTAATGTACCTACAAAAGAAAATTTTAAAAATGGTTGCTCATACTCATGTCTCAATGCCGTGTAATAAATATATCTTATACAAAAATATTAACACACGTAAATATCTTGTTCAAAAATATTAACATACAAAATCAACAATAATTATGGAGAAAATTCAAAAAACGCGCTGTAGCTCACAAATTAGCGAAACTGGACTGAGTTTATTTTTGCAGTTTATGGCATTTTGTTATCATTATTGATTCCAATGGCAAATTGGGCTGAAATTATAGAATTTACGAAAAACACATATCGCTACGTATTCGTTTGCAGTGTTTACCGGCGGGAGTGAGTATAGATAGCGACAGAGTGCGAGCGAGAGGTGAATAGAGCATTCCCATTTCCCATTCTTTAAAAGCTCGGGTTGTTATTATTGTTGGTTAATTAGCTAGGACAACGCCCGAATGAAACGAAAAAGAACCAATGAAACTCGTCTTGCACTAAAATACCAATGGTGCTCTTTCCCGGGAGATTATAATCGAAATTTCGGATGATGATGCTGATTTCTAAAGGAGTGTTCAACATATTCCACCATACTTGCATCGAGGTCTCTTATTTGGACGAGGTCAAAAGGATAATGACAAAATGTTACTGTGTTGTAAGTGATCGTTTCGGTAATAGTGATTAATGACGATCGTGAATGATGCTGCACGAACTTTATTACCGCGTTGTTCCATTTAACGAATAAGTGTACGAGAGAGAGAGAGAGAGAGAGAGAGAGATATGAAAAAACTCGACTGATAGTTTTTAAGTATCACATCAATAAGCAACAGTCTTAAAAATAACTTCATTTCAAGAATGCGACAGCTGTATGAATTTCTCGAGAGATTACAATACCTTACCGATAACTAATCTCTGTGCTTAGTAACCAATAACCATATCCCCGAATACATCGTGAGCACAGAGACGATTCCTCTCTCACCGGTAACGCCGATCCCTATCACTATTACGTGGCATTCGATAAACAGTGATGAATTCTCCGCCGGTCACCATAGCCATATTCGTTATTCAACGGGATGCATCGTGTACAGGCGAGGTACATATTTCGATATAAATTGGTGGTATACATCCTTGCAGTCAATTATCGTAAAGCTAGTATTTTATAAATATTTAAAATTCAACAAATAGTTAAAAATCCTTGTCGTTTCTTCATCATCATCATTACAGCCCTTCACAAGTCAACTGCTGAACATAGGCCTCCCTCAAAGCATGGTCCTGAACCACCTACATCCATCTATTTCTATTGCTGTTTTATCATTTGTTTGTGTACCATTATGTGTAACGACATGATTTGTTGTTTTTTTTCAGGTATCCTAAAGTTGAAGCTACTTACATATATGTTGTGATATTATTAGCTTACTTTTGACTTGTATAATGTATTTTAGAAGACGCCAAAAATAAATTATTTAGGTTACTTTTATACAGTTACACTGTTGCTTCCTATAGTTACTATACCTATATGTCTTGCGATCCTCTTCCACTATATAAGATGATTATTTTGTAATGATAACTGTGTGAAATTTAGTTAATATTTATCAATTGGTCAAATACTTGGCTTAATCAAGAATGTAATCAGTAGAAATTTTCCCTCTAAATGGCATATATATATATATATATATATATATATATATATATATATATATATATATATATATATTTTTTTTAAATTACACCATTAGTTCCTTTTTAATGAATCAGCAAAACATTAATACTTGTTCATTACATTTACATACATTTCATACAAATATATTATATAGAGTTTGTATTTACAATTAAATAAATAGGTCAAGGACATGAGTACAACTCGACCCAGAATTGATAAGTATGTTAAGGATGATAAATAGAAATAAATAAATATGTATCATTTAGAAAAAAAAATCCGGAGATCCCTGATATTTTTTCTAAAAATTTTCATATTTGCCTTTCATGAGGAGTAGATAATATCTAAGTGCAATATAACGTCAAAGTTAAAATTTGTATGTTTAATGATGACTTGACGGCGTTATTGTAACTTCTTAGCTACAAATCTAGTCATTTCATTTTTATTAATCGCACTTTTAAACGCTGATTTATTACGTGATCAATAATATAAAACGCGAGCAAAACTGCATGTCTAATAAATTCTAAATAATTTTGAAGACAAATCGTTTGCTGTCTGCAAAAACTACTTGGTGGTTCCTACTCTTACACCCTTTCGGATATGAAAGGAAGACTGTACCCATTTGTGAATTTATTATGGTTGTTTCATTATACTAGTTAATGCTGCTGTATTTCGTATGGTGTGTATAACTAGAGAACTGTTTTACTGAAAACGAGGCATTCCATCTTACGAGTTGCCTCAATCGGTCGACCTGAGCGCTGATTGTTTTCAATTGAGTTTGCCTTGCTTGAAGTGGCTATACCACTTATAAATCATCGTTTTTATTTCAGGGCAAGAGTATCCGTAAACAGATGTCATCTCTTCCTTAGTAATATGTGGCATTTTTCCTTGCTTAGTGAGGAACTTAATCACGGTACGAAACTAAATTTTCTCCATAGTTAGTGTTCATTTCCCGGTTGACTTGTTTATTTTGTGATATCTCAAAGGTTAATGGACCGATCTGGCTGAAAGTTAGTATTAATAGTTGTTATCAGTCACCAAGAAGTGACAGTTAAAAAGAAATTCTTTTCCCCTCTAACCCCTCTATTCCGTGACCTTTTTGACCCGCCCTCGTAGTCCTCAAGGAAGACAGCGCATCTGCATTTTGATTCTCATTTGAAGATGTAGATGTCTAAACTAGCCAGGTCCTGGGATGATGTTATTGTGAGGACAGCTCTCATTGAGGATGGTAAGTGGCTTTGCCAAGGTATATTCAGGGTGTCATCCTCTATTTTCCCTCTAGCCAATCCCTTCATTCTTCTTAAAAGTTGACTAGGCTTTTGATCTCCCAATTCCACTTCTGATATTAATTTCTGGATTAGTCTCGTCTTCGACTCTTCGTATATTTGCAGTAGTCTATTTTTCAAAGTTTCAAATTCGTTAATCTCCAGTGGTTTTGACAATATATCTGCCACAGTTGTCGCTAGTTGGAACTAAGGTGAAATTAATTGTTACGCAGATGGTCACATTGTGTCGTCGTCATTGAAAAATTGCGTTTTAAATAAAAGTTTTCGGTTTGTAGTATATATGTCGCAGCCGACTAGCTTAATTAGCCTTTCAGTTAACAACCTAGTCTTTTTATTAAACGTCGCCTTTCAACTAGCGGCCTGAATGTAATCAGACGATGCGTCTAATACAGCATAGCACCTATCTTGTAATATCAGCGACAGTTAGATTATGGTGCGGCTGCGGTGGCCCTTGGGCCACCCTAAAGCCGCGTACATTTATATAAAATAGCACATAACGCATAATTCAGACAAAAATCAGCGACCTTACATGGTATGGTCATCTTATTAATTTCATTTAACGAGTTTAGTAAAAAGGCTAGAACTGAAAGGTTTATTTAAGCTCGTTGGCTGCGACATAGACATAAAACAATATCTTCTTTAATTTTTTGCACATTTTTAATTATTTTTTTATTTTCATTTTAGGAATATCCGTAGTTTAGTTAGAAAAATACATTCGCTATCTCTTCTCAATTCTCACAAATTAACTGCGCCTGCACCTGCATCTGCGCTATGAAATCTGTCAAATATTTCACTTCAATCTTATGTGACGCCGCCTTGGTGGCCGAAAACGTGTTGGAAGCCCTCATTAGTTCGCGCTGCTCCTAAACATGTCTACGGATATATCTACATAATATTTTATTCTTCGTAAATGATAGATAGATAAAAGCGTTTATTTGTTTCTCCAATCACACACGTAAATTCAGTGACTAAACTAGATATATAAATCAAAGTATTATGAAAAAAATAGAAGTTATAATAATACAAGAAAAAAATGCAGACTTCCTCCCGATATTTTTTATAATCGTCAAGCAAACTCAGCGTCTTAAAATTCATATTCGTCTGAAAAACGTTACTGCAGTCCATATATACTCGAATTTTATTTGTCTCGGGTTGTTAACTCGCCATATCGAATACCTACTATATCGTATGTTTCAGAGATTAACTTGTGCAAAGCAAACAAGGTATAAAAGTATATTGATAAAAATTCTCTATGCTGTGACCAGGAGGCAATCCGGTTATTTTAACATCAAGAGAGGCTGCTGATATGTTTCTAAGTCATAGCTGGTTTTTATGGACGATTCAAAGGCCTGTCATCAAGACTGGCCGTTACCAGATACCGAAGACCGACCATGCTGGGTCTTTACTAGCTGGTACTGCAAACTATTTTGAATACACGATATAAATGGACACTCAGCCTATTGCCTGGGATCTTCTGCTAACTACCGAACCAGAAGGGTACGACGTACAGGTGACCTCCCTTTTGGGTAAATTTGACCAATGTCTCATAAAATAAACTGTATTTTCATATACTTATCCTGATTTCATATAACCCTATTATGATTCCCGGGGTGTTCGATAAATATAACGGCATAAGCGAATTAGTATGTGATGTAGCACGTTTTTTTGCATCGTATCCATTCGGCGTAGGTACTTATCCTGGGTTATGGCTTGAGAACACAAAGCATCAGATATCAGCTGCAACAAAGGGGCATTCACCCAGACCGCCAATATCTACAAAAAGTACTACGAAAGACCAACTTCGAACGCATTAAACATCTTGACCCGAAACTGCCACACCGTAAGGCAGTAGAGCTTTATGGTCAGTCGCCTTTCTGCCGGCCTACTCTGCCTCCGCTGATAAATCCGGATGACACACTAGCGCATACGGTTAAAGAAGAAACAGACTAGTTCACTTCTCATTTTATCTGAAATTCACATCTCACCACCTCACTTAGGTCATGTACACAATATACTTCCTCTATGCGGTACCTCTTTTCGGAGGCCCGCATCACTAATATGGAGGTTTGTGTTGAAGTTGACACAGTTATGGAGAGATACAAGTCGAGAGCTATACTATAGTTAGAGATATTTAATAACTTTTACACATGTTTATTACTTTGTTGGTTCCAAGGGCGTCGCCAGCCGATGGCGCAGGGGGGGGGGGCAAGTTGACTTTACATACTACAATTCATACTTTTCTCATTCTCTATGAATGAGAAAAGTAGGTATGAATTGTAGGTATTCTGTGACAGTACAGAGTCCAATGTGTAAAGCTACACGAGCACGAGCTCTTGACTATGCAATAAAAAACTTGTAAATAAGTTATAATAACATTTATTAGAAAAATAGAATAAAAAGGAGTTTGAATTTGAATAAGCGTACAGCGTATTTTTTTTAATTATCAGATTTTAATATTATAATGGTCGTTGTTTGTTTATATTAGGTTAATTAAAATATAATTTTCGGGGGATTCATTGTAAACTTCTCGACCACTTTATTATTAAAATCTTGTAAGTTTCCATGTATAAGTTTTCGGTGCACACTCATCATGGCCAAACCATTGAGGCGATTTTCACTCATAGTGCTTCTTAGCCAGGTTTTTAATCTCCTGAGGTTGCTAAACGATCGCTCTACCGTACACGTCGTGCATGGAAGAGCGATCAAAATTTTCAACGCTTTTTCCGTGTCGGGAAAGAAGGTTTTTGCTTCTTTTAGGATATCAACAACGGTTTGATCTGTTGAGTTTGGTTTATTATGCCAGAATTGCTGCCAAAGCTCTACTTCAATTTTTATGTTTGGTAAATTATAAAACTGAGCGATAGTTTCACAAGTTTCTGTGAGATTTCGACTGACATCGTTTGCATTTGTGCGGGGTGTAATTTAGATAAAGCAAATGATGGAGTATTTTCTTCAGCAAAGCGTGTTTCAAGCGATGTAATAACGGAGTCCAAGTATAGTATTATTAATGATCTTTTCCAGAATTCTGAAGGGCTTTCTGCTGGGTGATTGCTTCGATGACGTTGTTTCCCAACAATGCGCGGCATTGAAGTGATATCCTCCTCCAGGCCGACTTTCTCCGCAACAACAGTAGCATCCTTTATAATTTCATCTGTGACTCTTTCGGGATTATCACGGTGGCTCTTAAGCAATTGCAAAATGCGTTTGACGTGTTGCGAGGCCTTAACCACATCCAAAGCTATGGATTGGAGTGCGTTGACAACAGGTTCTAACAAAGCAGAGTATTTAGCTATCAAAGTAATACAAAGTATAAACGAAATTTTGAAAGCAGCCGCATGGAGTTGAAAGGCATTTTTTCGAGTAGCACTGTTTCCTTCACGCGATAAGTTTTCTAAGGCTTACAATATAACAGGAAAATTCTCCTTAAATAGGGTAACTCATCTTATTCTGTGATAAAATAGAATATTGCAAAAAAAATCGGGTGAAACTTAATAAAAATGTTTTATTTTATATAAGAGAATCAACCACACTTTTGTTTACCATATGAGCAATAGTAATCATATTTTTCAAATGATAAACCTAAAGTAAATGAACTTTATGCATAGCTTGATGATTTGTGTAATTCGGTGACAATCACTTTAATTCGGTGATGGTACTACTCTAATTGTGATATAACAGAATTAGGTGAGTATTTATTTTTAATCTTCACAAAATTCGCGAAATTTATTCCAATTAAAAATTATTTTACTAATCAACTAAAAGCTAAGAAACAAGGAATAAATTTGTACATTTTTAATTATTAATAATAAAAAGTTTATGTAAGAATTCAATGAATTTCTTAAATATTTTAAGATACTCTTATTATTATTATTCATGTTATTTTACTCTTCACCACTAGATTCATCAATGCTGCAACTATCACACATAAAAACTTCTTGGTTATCACCTATAATTTGACTTTGGCAATGGATATGATAAGGATTAGTACAGAAAGAACATGTAATCCAGTCGGCTCCATTTTGTAACTTTACATCTTGTGAGTACAGCCCATTGCAAGATCGGCAAACCCATTCATCATCCGAGATTGAAGATTTTAATCTATTTAATGGTTGAGAAGTTTGTTTGACGTTTTCTTTTACTTGTTTTCTTAAGTTTGGTTGTGGTGTTCGCCGATCTTTCACTTTTTGATCTTCTTTTTTAAAAGTTGTTCGGCGGACATGTCTTAAAGATACGTTTGTAGATGATGTTGTGGCGACCGGTGTTAAGCACTGAGCTTTGGGAACATTTCTCTTTTGTCGTGTTTTTATATTAGGTTTCCATTTTGGTAATATTAATATGTCGTGTATCTCAATTTTATTTTTATTTTGAAGAATAGGTCTCGGTATATCGTCAATGGTTATATTATTTGTTACAGTATTTATATTATACATTGAGTTCGGAACTTGTTCTAACTCGCATTCCATTTGCAAAGTCTCAGAAGGAGCACTATTTTCAATTTGTGCCTCGGCAATAGAACTAATGCTTGGGATTGAAGGTTTGCTAGCGTCTTTCTCGTTGATTGCTCCTTCACTAAGGGGATCATAATTAGTTTTTATTATTTCGGCTTGAGGAATATCAACATCGTAGTCTTGACCGATAATTATTTCTTCCATAGAGAACTGTGATGTAGGAACAGGTTGATCTGATAATATTGAAGGTGCAATAGCTTCTGAACATACAATATTTTTATTTATTGGATATAATCCGGCTTTTCTAAATCCTGCTCGTATATTGGTAGGCGTAAAACATTTTTCATATACCGGTGTCAAAAATTTGTGAAAATCAAATCTTGTGGGTACTGAGGTGGGATTGTTTACTTTATAATTTTGCAACTCTGCTCTCCATGCCGCTTTAAGTGGTCGAAAAACTCCAACATCCAGTGGTTGCAAAATGTGGCTTGTGTGAGCAGGCATAGTAAATAATATTATCTGGTGGGATTTAGCATAATCAAGAATTTTTGGAGCTATATGACTCGCATGTGAATCCATAATCAACATAACCGGCCTTGTAGGAGGGAATGTTTCGGTCGAAAAATTTCAACCACTCATAGAATAAATCTGCATTTATCCAGCCCTTTGGCGACAGTCGCGTTAAACTATTTGGCAGAGACCCATTCGATAGTCCAGGGATATTTCTTACCCCTTTAAATATCACCAAAGGGGGGAATGAAATGCCCAGCTGCGTTAATGCAAGCTAGCACTGTAGTTGTAGTGCCTTTCTCAGCATATGTTCGATTATATACGTATTTTTTTCCTATTTTGGTGACAATTTTAGTAGGTTTGTTGACGTACATAAGACCCGTTTCGTCACAGTTCCATATTCTATCTGGGCAATCCAACAAGTTATGATTAACTAAAGTTGCCTCTAATTTTTCATAAAAATCAGCTAATATTGTGGGATTTGAGCAAATAGCACGACCGGATGAAAGATTTTCCGGAATCCTTAAACTTAAACCGTAACGACCTTTAAAACTAACCCACCAATTCCATCCAGCACATCTTTTGCTTTTGTTGAAGTAATGCTTACATTCAGCTGTCTCAGCAAGTGAAAAGGCTATTTGTCTTATCTGGTTTACAGTAAGGCCAAATCCAAGCTCTTGCATTTGTATAATGTATGACAGTAAGCTTTGTTCTAAATTCGCTGACAAAGAAAATGGTCTACCTACTTTGAGCATCCTAATCTGTGTTATTCCCTGCTTGCGTTCTTCTTTAACTCGTTCAACATTGGCCTTTAATGTACTCCACGGCACGTTGAATTCCTTTGATGCCATGTACAAAGTTAATTTTGACTGTAAAACACTTTCAATGGCTGATTTTAACATTATCTCATTATATTTTCTGTTTTTTTTCTTCGAATTCTTATTTTCCTCCATGGTGTCTGAAATAACATAACAACTCACTTAATTTCGTGATAAAAAGTACTAACAAAAAGTCATAAAAATTAACAAAAATTTTAAAAAAGCTAGAAAACGGCCGCTATTCTTATATCACAATTAAAAATATTTTTTAAAATATATTTTACTATATTAGTCACAATAACTAAAACTATTAATATAAGAATAAGAAAAACATCACACTTACCTTCGTTAATTCGGTGACACTGTTTCGCGCTTAAATCTCGAAAATCGTTAATTTTTGAATCCAGTAGATAAGGTATTATTCAAATATTAATCAGAATTGATCAAAACCATTCACAGTGGCAGCAATTATATGTTTTCAACAACTGATTCACCAAATTTCATAAAGTTACACCTATGTTTTTCATTTAAAATGTATTAATTATCACAACTCAAGACGTACGTTGCCGCTGGGAAGCAAAAATGGCGGGTGAAATGACAAATCACGTGACTGTTATTATTTGTCTAACAAGTATTGAACAAAATTTTATACACAAAAAGAAGCCTTATCGTTCTATCACAAAGTTGAATTTAAAGTAGTAAATTTTGCTCCTATAAAGCAGTGGAAGCATCAAAACATATTATCACAGAATTAAGTGAGTCACATATTTACGCTAGTTTACCCTACTCTGATAGTTTTATGTTTCTCACTCCATCTTGTTTCGCAGAGCCTGGCAATATTAGGTACCAATTTTCTTCTCAAAACAGATTCCCGAAAAAAAATTAATAATATCTTTAGTGGTTCCCATGGTGTTTCGAATTTCAGGAAGAATATTGAGATCATTTATTACCAGATTCAATTTATGGGACGAGCAATGAAAGAACAGTGCTTTGGTATATTTTTTGCGAAGGATCGCTTGTACTCCACCGTCTTTTCCGGACATCGTCGAACAACCGTCAAATCCAAAACCAACGCATTTATCAGCAGGATTAAGGTCTTCTTTTATAAATGACAGACAGACGATAAAACAAAGGCGGCTGTGTGGGGGGCGCGGGCGCCACGCGGTTATAGTGCGCGCAAGATAACTCTGCGCGCGACTGATGGCGTGCTTAATGTTGCCAGCTTAACTAATATTTTTTCCTTCGTTTAATCTTATTACTGGAATTGTATATTTATATCAAATTACATAAATTACCTAATTGATTACCAAATCTCAATTAAAAAAACTGTAATGTTCAGCCTAAACTTACAAAGACCTAATAATTTTTAAACCCCATATTTATTGTTTAAGATCCGCGTAATAAATATATTTCTTGATTCTAACTTTCATAAGTTTGATACCTCACTACACAAGTTTAACTACGCCACTACAATTTTTTTTTACACAATTACAGGTACCTATTATATGCGTGTATAAAAAGGACTAATACTAAGATTAATGACTACTGATATTTTGTCTATAATAAATTTTTCCAAAAAGGTATTTTGAAACAACTGAAATAGCATTATAATATTTATTATAGAAATAAAAAGTCCAAGGAAACCTTGTAAATCTTTTATTGAATACCTATTATTATTTATAAATTTGGTGTAAGAATGGTCCTGCAGTGGATTAACGCCTTCCATTCGCATATCTTCATCAGAATCCATGCTAGAGTCTTCATCAGATGACTCAGATGTGTCACCTGTAACATTAATTACAAATTCATCCATTTCCATATCCATCAGCCTATCTGATTGGAAATATTTATCTTCTATTTTTTCTACATGTTGGCATACGTTGAACCATTCTTCTGTCGTTACTGTTCTAAACGCCGCCTCAGTAATAGCAGCTATTTCGCTAGGAGCTTGAGTGATATTTTTCTCTGCAATGCGTCTCTTTACTATTGCCCAAATTTTTTCTATGGGATTTAAATCGCAGTGGTAAGGCGGCAAACGGAGAACCTCATGTCCATATTCATTTAGCATTTGATCTATTTCGTACTGTGGGTCTCCTTTGTATTTTTTAATTAATTCGTATAATTGCGATTTTGTCCAACAGTCTTCAAATGTAATACCATTTCTCGTAAGCCATCCTTGGAGCTCTGCTTTTGTATTGCCAATTGTAGGCGCCTTGTTGATCTGTGTGCAGTGGTATGACACATTATCCATCACTACAATGCAATTCGTTGGAAGATTCGGCACAATTTTTTCTTTCATCCACCGCATGAAGTTAGCTGAATTCATATCGTCATGATAGTCATTCGATTTGGAGTTAGACCTGAACAGCAGCAGTCCGTTTTCAATAAACCCAGTTTTACCTCCACCATGGGCTGTTATCCATCTTGCACCGACGCTATCAGAAGCAAGAATACCAGGCTGTTCCTTCGATTGCCAACATTTTTGAAGGTGGTATGAAGCATGTATATACGTTTCGTCAACATAAATTACCGGTCGATTTTCTTCCTGGCGATTTTTGTGCAACCTCAGAATATATTTTGCTCTCCAAGCTGCAATATCACTGCGTTCTACCAATACTTTTCGTTTAGACTGGCACCTTTTGTATTTGTAGCCCATAGTCTTTAAAATACTCCTCAACGATGTTCTGCCATATTTAAAACCAATATCAGTTTTCAATTCCAACCAAAGTTTATTTATGGTAGGAATCTCCTTCTTCACGACGTAAAATGATTGAATTAAATGCCTTATAGCGCACATATCGAAATCGTCATAAATCATTTCCTTCGGTTCCTAGTTTTTCCCGGTGTCACAATTTTAGAAGATGAAGCTTCTGCTATATTACCCTCTTGACTTATCTGGGTGACGGTGCGTTCAGAAACACCTAAAACAAAATAAAAACAATGCATTATAAATACATGATATTAATGACACGAGGAAATTAAAAAGGAACAAATAGAGAAAATTGGGGAATTTTATTGTAATGGCGTCCCTAAAAATTACCTGTTAAATATGCAACGCGGGTTCTAACTTTGGAAAACGGTACTATAGGCCCGTTATTGTCTCGTTCTTCTTCACAAGCACGTTTGACCTTCAAAATAACATCCCTGCCAGCACTTTTAATCACTTTCGGCATAATGATAACGATTAATTACTGCAAAAAAGAATAAAAACAGGACACCTACCACTCTGTTTAGACACTTGCCATAAACAGTAAGATGGCGGCACACGTTAGTTCCAATTTTGGCCGCGCGCAGAGTTGGTGAATTCATTCGAGTTTCGACGCACGGGAATGATTGTTCAAGGCTTGAACTTCAAGCAAATCAACTCAAATACTTAGGACTTTGGTTGTATTATATTTGGCAACTTTTTTAGAATCTCTAGGGGGGGGGGCAGCTGCCCCTCCCTGACCCCCCCTTGGCGACGCCCTTGGTTGGTTCTAATTTAAGCGTCACTATAATTTTTACAAAATTTCCATTTAGTAGCATTGCAAGAAATGACATCCATGCAGCCATTTATTCGCACTTGTGCGATATTTTGTATTAGCTTGTTTTTAGAGGAACCGGATCGCAGTCTAAAATTCGTTCTCTTGCTCGATCTCGTACAGGGCATTCGGAACTGTCTGAACCTGTTTCAGTTAACACCTCGAAATAGACCGATATCGTTCTAGAATAGAACATAGTTCCTACAAATATTTTAATCAGGGAACAACTTATTTCTTATCAAAACCATGCAAAACTAGATAGATATACCTACAATATTTCGAAAGGATATAATAAATGCGATTTTTTTCTATATGAAGCAGTTTTTCTTTCTTCATTCAACTTAACACGTCTAATATAATGTTACTTGTATCACTAATAAAGCTTTTGGATTTTTTGCATTATTATGCTCGACGCACACGGTCACTTAAACTGATCAATTGAACTGTCGTAAATCCAAATACTGACCGTGAATGGGAAATCTTAAATTGAAATTTGAAGCCAGTGAATTGGGAAATCGTTTTGGCTTACATCCGTTTGAACTGATCTGTTTAACTGACCGTGTGTGTTGGCCATTAAGATTCAAGAACCATAAAACGAAAGCTCATGATAATGAATGACAGACGTAAAATGGTGTTGTTGTTTGGACTTGGACGCCAGGCTACGCTAGTTTATGGCACTAAATTAATTTCACTCGATAGACTTGGAACTCGGAAACCTCAGTGAGTAGGTCAGTAGTAATATTATAATATAACATTAATCTGATTGATTGCAGCTAAGAAATATTGATTAATTAGCAAACACTAACCACGGCACGGCAGTGCCCCCGCCAAATCGAGCAAAAAAGCGGCACGGCCGTATATAACGAAGCGAAGTTATAAGGGGACACAGAAGCTTCAAATTTAGAATTCAATTAGTGTTTTGTGTATAAATCAACGGAAAACTTAAATATTTTGCAATTTTAGTCCAGTTTTCTAGATACACCAACTGTATAAATAACTTTGTGATCTCATATAAATATATAGGATTACAAAGTTACATTTGCAGTAAATGAATCAGTGTACCTGTATGTATAATATAATGGAATAATAGGCGTAGATAGGTATGGTGTGGGTATTCAAGAAATAGAAGGTACCGGAAAGGGAAAAAAGTAGGACTATCTACAAAAAAATGATATGACATCAAAAACATAACTTGTAAAAAAAAACAAGTCTCGCAACTCAGTTCTTCTACGTAAAAAGTTGCGAGATCCATGTAATACCAAGTTGTTTAATTTATTCAGTCCCTATTTAAGGGTCCTTCTGTTTTATGTTGTGACGTAATTAGCTAACCCAACAACATCTTATAGTGGCCATATCAATATTAGAAATCATTTATGTTTTAAATACTTAATTAGATTGACTTGGCCATCGCATGAAAACACAATGTATCTCACAAGTAATATATATTATATTAAATGTGATTGTTTAGCGCGATTGCCAAGTCAATCTATTTATTTAAAACATAAAAGCTTTTTAATAATGATATGGTCACTATAAGATGTTAAGTTAGCTAATTACGTAACAACTTAAAACAGAAGGAACCTTAAATAGGGATTGAATAAATTAACGGACTTGGTATTACATGGATCTCGCAACTTTTTACGTCGAACTGAGTTGCGAGACTGTTTTTTTACAAGTTATGTTTTTGATGGCATTATAGTTATAACACGTAACGTGGCTTCTTAAAAATGTAAGATGGGCGTTCTACATTTATGACCAAGAGAGCTTGACAGCTTGAAGAAATAAATTTCATTGCTTCAGCAAGCAAAGGAATTAATTCATACATTTGCTGTGGTTCCTGCACAGAATTTGTATTAAGTACATGAAATAAAATGTCATTTTATGAGTATAATTCTGTGGTGTCTGGGAGAAACCTGTTAAGTCCAAAAACGTAATTTTTCAGTATAAGACTTAAGGTTCAAGTTTAATTTATAAATCAGTTAGGTAAAGTAGAAAAAGCTAACCACTGCTGCAGTAACTATTTATTAATCAGGTTTTTTTTTAATATTTTAACTAAAACTAAAAACACAGCCGTTTCATTTTAAATGGCACTTATCATTTTCTTAACCAAATTAACATTAACTAATTAAATCGATAACAATGGAGTTAACATATTGAAATCAAAAGTAAATAGAACATAAGTGTTATAATTTATTCGTAATTTTCGTCACTGTCGCTTACAGAGTCAGGATTCGTGTTTGAGGTTTTCAAATTTTTATAAAAATTATGATAAACACGATCTATAAAAGGTAGCGAACTTATAATATCATGGTACTTTTTTGAGCATATAGGTAAAGGACTCGAATATGCTCTTGGTATGCTCAAAGTAGCAACCGATGATACCCGTCCCCTTTTAACAAATGAGTAGTATCTAAAAGGTTCACTTGAGTCTAAAGACTCTTTGAACGCCACATCATTAGAGTCTTTAGAACACATTATCCAAAAAATATTGTTCCAAATAAAAGGATTTTTATCGGTATCAATGTTTCTTTTCATAAACATTGTTTTGAAAAGTTGAGAAAATCCTAAAAACTCTTCTTGTGTCATCATTTGGACTGTGTATCTGCGACTAGTCATTTGGATAATGTTTCCCCAATCTTGTGGAACAGAAATTGAAACTCTATGATGTTTTATAAATCTTTCTATCGCTGCATGATCGCTGTCGCATTCCAAATGCGTATCGCTCATTTGGAGAAACATCGACGTAATTGCTATTTTTCCAATTTTACAGGAGAGTGATTTAAAGTGTTTTTATTTATTTTGTAATGTGTTACCGTCTCCTGATGATGACTCTTGCCTATTTTTTTATATTTAAAATGTGGCTATACTAATGTAATTTCATATAGTTTTCAATAAAGCTGAATATTTATGTTGGTATTCTAATAAATAAAAATAAATATGTCGGATACCTACAATTCCGTCTTTGTTTCCCAAAGATTCAGTATAATATGCGCAGAGTGCCACGTATACATTTTTTATGATTTTATGACAAAATGAAACCATATTTTGAAAGTAATCAAACTATTATCCATTTATTTCGAATAAAATTTGTAATATTTGAGGAACTTAAACTTTAGATAATTTTCACTTAAAGAATCAAAAGGCACGGCAATCACAGCTTCGTTAGGCCTACTTTTACAAAATATTAAATTTAACGTACCTAGCTTAATTTGAACAAGTAGATACCATTTAAATGTTTAAAACATTGTCGTAAAAACTGCAATAAAACCTTGGTATGATATTTTTCTGCATTAGTTCTTGTAAGTCACTTTTCTTATTTTGAGCAATAGGTATTTTTCCACGATACGCTGGCTTTAATTTTAAATCTATTATATCTTTTGTGTCTCCCTTATTTCGTCTGGAGATTTTCGTAACGGCTTCTGTTCAGTCTTCCTCGTATCCAGTTTTAAATTTATATGTTCCATTTTCCTTTTGAAATTTAATCATTTTTATATCATTCGTTTTAATGGTGTTTCCATGTACGTCTTTTGCGGTGTTTAGTCCAATTTCTTCCGCAAATTTTTTGAGATCATAGAAATCGTCATAGTTTAACTCTTCTACAATAAATGGATTGCCATTTTTTTTTTGCAGACCTTATGATTTGAACGTACTGCTCTGGCACGTATATGGGCCCAGACTTTTTAGATTTTTTAATAGCTTTTTCTATTAACGAGTGCGCTGTGTCTCCTTCATTTTGGGTATGCATTTCATTGAAATCAGTCCAAGACTTCTGGATCAGTTTTAATATGATGATCATGCTTGCCACGACTGTCCATTGGTGCACTGCCTAGAAAGCCTTCACTTGTTTTAGCCTCGATCACAGTGCGTAAAGTTCTATCCGCAATTCCCAATGTGTTTAGTAAGAAAGTTTTGCAAACTCTTACATTTTGCCCATTGTTGACTAGGGAATAGTATGTGTTAGGTTTTCTATTCTTTATCGTTGTTCTGACACGACGCACGGCTGGTAGGAATACCATAACTACAGAGTTAAGAAAATCACGTTGTCTCTGAAATGATGATAAAGCCCAATACATATTAAATATTTCACGCCTCTGCTCCTCTGAAAATTTGTTCGAGCACAAATATCGACACTTGTCTGAACAAGGCGGCTTCATTGCTTTGGCAGGAACAGTTTTACCAGTGCGAGATGTATATTGTTTACCCAAATTCTTTAATTGTTTTGTTTTATTTTTCTTCCACTGAGCCTCATTCCTCACCCTTTTCTTTTTATTTTTATTAGGAGATTGAACAATATTATCTGTATTTTGGGGTGATCCATCATTTGGCATCATACTGTTACTGGAATGATTATTTTGCTGTGATATAACCTCGAGAGTCTCGCCAGATTGCATTAAGTTGGAGCTGCGTGTAGTAGAGTAAAAAGAAGTGGACCTGCTTGATGATGAGCTTGATGACGATGAAGAGGAACTGCTTGAACTAGATGAAGACATTTTGCGAGTGCGTTTTGCTGGCCGATATTCATCACCACTGTCATCTGGTGAAAAATCTTCACAGTCTGATTTTAAATATTTGCCATCTACATTTGCACTATTTTCGATGGATTTTGGTAAAACTAATTCAGATATTTCTGGTTGCGAGTTATTATTGGCTGGTAAATGGAGCTGGAATTCAGACACAAGAGGAACGACATAGTTGTCTTGTTCTAATGTGGAAACGTTCCCTTGTGTCAAAATCGACTTACTTGCAGTCGAGTCTTCAGAATCAGAGCTAGATGAGGATAAAGTTGGAATTCGAAGGTTTCTGATTCGTGTTTACTTGTGTCATACTCTGCGACGTTATTAAAAATGCTTGAAATATCTTCATTGTGATACGGAGAGTTTCGCAAACTTGGCAAGTCAGAATAAATACTCTCAACTTGTTCATTTCTATTGGCTAAAAGAAAATTAATAAATTATAGCAAAACAAAACCAAAATAAAAAACAGTCTAGTTGTCTGCCTATTTTACACGTACCATTCCCACTCTGATCAGCAACACCAACAATATTGACATTATTTAAATACGTCATTGTGTCAATAGATGATGGTTCGTGTCTATCCATTACTAAATTGACCAACTTTCTACCACGTCCTTCCATTATTGTAAATAACCTAAAAATAAATGAATAGGAAATCAAAACAAAATTATAAATCACCAGCGCGCGTCATGTGACTTTTATTTACATTCACATAAGGTTTAAATTACAACTATTGACGCGCGCTCGTGAAATGCATTAACTGTACATGATACAACATAAAAGAAATTTTAAAAAGTAAATCTAACTTCAAAGACTAAAATAATCCCACGTGGAATTTAGGAAGTTTACTGCGACTTCACGCAGACAAAAAAGAATTATACGAACATTTCATGTAATACAACACAACAAAAATACTTGGCCAGGTATCGTGAAAATAAGCTGGCTTGCTCTTTTTAAAATGTATATATATTTAAATAATTTCACAAAGCAATGTTTAAGCGTATTTGAACCAAATAATAATATTTTTCTACCAACGACATTATTAATAGGAAATTACAAAAATTATGTCATTGCTTCTGCAAAAACAAATATATTTTGGGACAACAATGTCGAAAATGTTCATTCCGTCGTTGTAGCCCCAAAAAGAACGAAAAATAATGTCATAATTACCGTTACGTCGATGTAGCACCCAAACACAAATACACTTCGCGGAGCTCCCCGCGCAACTGACCGATGCGTCGCTGTTTCCGCGAGATCTTTGCGAGTTAGCATAAATGCAACAACGACGCTAGCGCTACCTACCGATAAATAGACTGAAGTTGATTTACGTCTTTGTTTCTCCTAACGTAAATACACTTTCTAAGTGATTTGTCATATTTATCTAATTTTTGGAAAAAATTACATTTACGTCGATGTTTCTCCAAATGAGCGGTATGTCCGGGCACTAAAAATTTGTGATGGATTTCATTTAAACTGGTTTTTTGATTGACAGCTAACGCAAACATTAATCGTAAAATATATTATTTCTGTTTTGTCCTGGGCAGGTATCTGAGTAGAATATTGTCTGCTCTACAGTATCTGGTAGCTCCATAATAAATCGAAACAAACATGATGCAATCTCAACCGCACCTCTTTGGATACTTTCGTACCAAACAAAACATTGCGTTCGTTTTTCTGTGATGTTACGTACAGTTAAATTAAAAGTCCATAGCTTCCTTTTATAAAACGATATTCCAGTTGATAGATAAGGAGTCGCTAAACATTTTTGTAGATCGAATGCAGCAACAACAATTTTTCAATCACTTTGCTTACTCAATTCCTTGTCCTCTCTTTTCGAATTATAATGTGATTCAGCTTTACTTTGATGAATAGTCTTCTTCTCTTCTAAATTTTGTTTTTCATTAGCATCCTCACAAGTTTTAATTTGAAGCGTAAGCGAATCGCAAGTTTTGCAAGTATTGTTTGAAGGTTTTTTGAATTTCAAATTGAGTGTTTTAAAAATGCTACGAAACAGCGTAATGCTTACTGGCGGTAATCCTTCTTCTCCATTGTCTTTCACGTATTCATCTTTGTACAATTTGTACAATATCTTCATGTTTAAATCCTGATGAAGGTATTTTTTATTCGTATGGCGTCGGGAGTAGTGACTTTCATAAGCTGGAAATTTGTCGATGAAGTTTTTGACGTATTGGATGTCATGGTCAGAACGTTTATTTCCAGGATCCCTTAAACCTCTTTGATCAGCTTTTACAATAACAGATGCCGATGAGCTGTTCTTTTTCTTCTTAACGATTTCGTCTATAAAACCTCTGCCTTCACCAAATGTTTTCATGAAACATTTTTTGCAAATATTTCCTTCAGTTCAATCTATATTGTAAACAACTGTTACCTCTCTGTTTTTCATAAATGAATTTCTTCTTGTACGCTCTTTTGGTTTAATTTTAATCAATCCACTCAAATATCTCTTTTGTGCTTTTCTAGACGGCAATTCCCTGTAGTCAATGTAAAGCTGGTTCAAATTAATTTTCTTAAGCTTTTGTTGACATTTTGCCCTACAATTATCTGAAAATCCACCCGGATAACGCTTTGGTATACATTTTCCTTTTGCAGTTACATATTCCTCGCCTTTTCGACGTTTTTCCGTACGCTCCTTTCGTAGCTTTCTTTGATAAGGACCATAACCTTTCTTCCTCTTTCTACATAATAAAGCCAATGGGATATTATCGTCACCATCACCATCATCGGAGTCAGATTTACTTGTAGATTCTTCGTTTTCAATAGATGTTATCAAATCATGACTGACAGGTTGCCATTCATCATCAGAGCCAGAGCTAAAATCCTGACCCTGTAAAAAAAGTAAAAAAAAAACTGTTTTATAAGTACTAACAACAACTTTTGTTTTGTCGGTATTCCCTAAGAATAATTTTTACGTAAGTAATCACAGAACAATCTTAGAAAATAAGTTAAATAAAAAATCAAAAAACCTACCATCTCTACATCACATTCTGTATTATCTTGTGAAACATCTCTTGATTTTTCTGCAAAAAAATCTGATGATCCTGGTTCAATTTCATTGTTTTGAATAATATTACTCTAAAAAAGAAAGTATTAAACTCATAATAAATACCATAGAGTATAATATTGCAAAAATAAAATTTGGTTTTTAAACTGAAGTACTTACTTGATTAGAAGTTTCACAAACAATTTGGGGTAAAACAGTATCGTCCAGATGTTCATCAATATTTTCTGGTGTCCTGTCTTCATTGTTCTTTTGAGTCTGAGAGCTAGGTATATCGAGCTGAAAGTACATTAATCATTACATTCTTGTAGGCTGGAGATCAAAACTACCCTAATTATCTTAATAAACTTACTTGGACTTGTGTTGGTCTTGTGGTTTTTACTGAGTGGGAAGTAGCTGTTTTTTCAAACGAATTCTTCTCCATAATATTATCTAAATATGAGCTTGCTATTTCTTCCAATTTTATTTTAATATAATCAGTTCTAAATTCAGACTCAATGGGCATCGAACGGTTATCTAAAATCTTTAAGATGCATAAGATAAAGTAATAATTCACACACATGTAAATTATAAATGACTATCTACTTACTATTTCAATAGAATTGTCGTTATCACTTTTATCAATGCGAGAGTAAGAAACTTGTTTATTCCTGTCAGGAGACCAATTTTGTGTTGCATGTACTAACACATTTTCGGTAACGAGTACTACATTTCTTTCCTACAATAAAAAAACAAGATTGAATGAATAAGAAAAGGCTCTAGCTATCGAATATAACGTAAAAATTACTTATTTGTTTGCCAACCAATCTTAGTTGCAACAAAAGTTGTTCACTTACATCAAAAATGTAATGTAAATCAGACTCGGACTGCGAATCATTTGAAAATTGCAACACCGAATCTACTATGCCACGAGAACGAGCACTTTGTGCATTGTTTCTGCGATTATTCATTTTAAAACTGTAATAATATTGTTTTCGTTTGAAAAACTTCACCTGTTCTGACAAGAGTTGGCGAAAAGGGCGCGAACGAAACCGTCAATAAGAAAAAGAGAGGGTAAAAATGAATGAAATGACAGTATTGACAGTTAACCGGGTCGAGAAGCGAAATAGTTCACAATAATACGCATAGATGGCGGTTTATTAATTTTTTCACATATATTCACAATAATAACTAGCATCAAATTTTGATAAGTTTTGCAGAAGTTAAGTAAAAATAAAAATAATTTTGGTAGAAACTTGTTATGTGGGATTAATCAGTGTTGAAGCAAGGCTTTATTTAATTATAAGTGGTACAAACATGACAAGTGGGACTTATCATGTTTTTATTAGAAAATCGTAAAAATATTTTTAAATATTTGATACAGAGCTGATATGTGGGAGTTATCAGAAATAAGATCTAAATTTTTAATTTTTTGCGTTTGATAATATCATGACTAGTTTAGTTATCGAATTTCTACCAAACCATTAATAAAAAATCATGAATAGTCACGTTTTTACCGCTACGAATCTCCCACTCCTATGATAGTTACACTTATCAGCAATAGACCAAAATAAAATATGATTTTTTTTAATAACAACATAGTACCAAACTAAAAAAAGACGAAAATGGAGTTATCAGGTTTCTCAGACCCACAGAAACCACAGAATTATTTCTTAATTAACTAACTATTAATTAGTATAATTTTCTCAGGTGAAGCTATCGCCTCGAGTTATGTATTCCATTAGAAAATAATTTTTATAATTTATAACTTACAGTAAGGTAAAATATGTAATGCTACTGTGTCGCTCTGTTTGTATAAATTTGTAAAACAAAGATTTATTGTAGTCTCAATAGTGTAGTTACACTGGAACTTGTTAAAAGATACATGAAAACATAAAAAATATTTTTCGTTTGTTGGGAACGCTTTTGACTAGTATCTTAGTGTTGTCTAGTCGTTATTCGGTAAATAAACGTTCCTTCTAATGAACTTGTTTTTTCTTAAATTCCTACTTGATTCCGATTCAAGGCCGAAGAATTTTTTTTACGGCAATGTTTTTCAGTATATCTGATTTCTCAACACCAAATCTTAAATATCATTACAGCCCTTCACAATTCCACTGCTGAACATAGGCCTCCCCCAATGTCGTAAGAGGCGACAGAGGGAAGTACATCAGGAGTTGGGCAGCAGCGTCTTCCTAATAACAACTGAAAATAAAAACTGCGGTTGCCAAGCGTGGCAACTATGGCAAATATGGGGAAGGCCTATGTGCAGCAGTAGACTTTAATTAGCTCTAACGGTAACGGTAATGCAGTTTTTCGTACGAAATCGTAGTATATCACAATAGTGATATACACGTAACAAAGTAAAAAAAATGATAATACCTATAATTTTTTAACAGTATATTATACTGTTACCAACAAGCTTATATACCCATGAATCAGTATACAACATGCTTCCCAACTAACTTTTAACGCAGCTTAATGCAATACGTACTTTTGTAAAATAGATACTGTCACAGCTGTCACAAGTGTTTGATAAATTTTTTCCAAAAAATTTAATTTTTCAGCGTTTTATTCGTGTGAATCGCTGTATTTTATTCTTCTTTTAAACTAATTTCTGTCCCATGGAAGAGGGTAATGAGGAAGACAATGGTAACTTTGAGAATAGTGACCAAAGTGATTGTAAAGGTGTAAGCGATTGTGAACATGAGTGTGAAAATTCCAAATTTCTATAGAAAAATAAGATGGAAACCCAACATAAAATTAGGTCAGCGGAAAAAAGAAAAAAAAACGGAGAACAGTGGAGAAGATAACAGTGAAGAGAGTTTTACAACAGTTACACGGAGAAAACCAAAATGTCGATTAGTAATTTAACAAAAAGTGCCGACAATAATCAACTCATTGACGCATTGACAACGCCGTTAGAAATGCAACGCTTAGAAGAAATTATGAAGTTTGTATTACATCTTTGCAATGCCTTCCTAAACAAATAGGTTTGGCCAAACTACTTAAGTCAGAAAATATTATTAACATTATGAAAATTCGGTATAAAAGCCCGTATAAGGTTTTGGTTCAATTCCAGAAGTTAGAAGATGCTTATCAGCTAATAAACTGTAAAAAGATTTTAGATTTGGGTTATCATTGTGAATTAGACACACTTATCTTTTGGAGTTGTAAAAGGAATTGATATAGGAATTGAAGAACAAGAAATTTTAGAAAATTTGCTCTCATGTGAAATCTCTGTAAAAGACTCAAACGCTTAGATATAAATGGTAAGTGGACAGACAGCGAAACATTTCGTTTGACATTCAAAAGTGAACAACCGCCTTCATATGTGTATGGATATGGATGCAGATTCAAGGTCGAAATCTAACTCCAGTCACGCAATGTTCTGGATGCTGGAGTTTTGGACATTACGTAAAATTTTGCCCGAATAAAAAGATTTTATGTCCTAAGTGTGGAGACAGACATACAAATTACGAAACTATTGAATACAAATGTGTAAACTGTAAAGGCCCACATATGGGACTTGATAAAGCATGCCCTATTTTTATTAAGGAAAAGAGTATTCGTAACATCATGAGTCAACAACATTTTAGCTACAGAAAAGCACTGGATATTTACTTAAAACAGACAAAACAAACTATGGATAGCCCAACATCTATGAATAAAGTACAAAAGGCCGATAAAGTACCAAGTGCTGATTATACGAAATCATATAGATTCTAACAAATAACTACATAAATCAAAACTTATCAGATACCGAAAGTGGAGAAGAGGATGACATGATTCTAAGCTGTTTTTTTTAAAGTCCCGCTGGGTTTCTTGATCGTTCTTCCCAGGATAGAGGTTTTTTCCGAACCAGAGGTAAATAAAATAAAAGAGTATCTTTCAATAAGTGTTATTTATAATCTATATTGAATAAAAAAGTTTCTGTTTCTATTAGCTCCAGCATGGCATCGTACAAAAAGTTGTTATTACAGATAGAATTAAATTAGACAATAAGCAAACAGCATCTATATTAAAAAATTAAAAACTGTTTATTATCATTAACCACATAATATAGGTACAATAACATAGTTTAACTGGCATTGGCTCGGTAGAAGGTGCAGGAGCATTCATCTAACATGGCAAGGAGGATAACCTCAATGGAGTTACCCAAGTCCCCCTGATGAACATCCCGCTCCATGATAATGAGAACTATTAGAATGAAATATTAAATTTACATTCAACTGCCTAGTAAGTATAATAAAATCACAATTTTAAGATAGTCTAACAATTACGAAGCGCATTTGATGTCGGGCGTGCGTGACCTTTAACCGTCGCCTGCATGATCTTTAAACTATGATACAATACTTGTGTCCGGGAGCTTTACTTAGACAAGCTTTATAAAAATTTAAATATATTACATTAATTTAAAAAAAAAGAACAAGCAACTTACAAAAACATTAAAAATAAACATATTAAAAAAGTTCCTAATTATAACGTTAAACATTCAAAGCAAAAAAGTCCATTGTTGCAACCGAGTCAGCTACATTAAATAATGAAGAAGTGACAAGAATGGAAACTGACGCATGTACAGAAAAACAAGAGGAGAAACAAAAGATATCTAAGATATGGGTAATTATTAAAAGGGTAAAAGAAATTCTGTTCTCTGAAAGCAAGGTAGAAGAATAGATTCTCGATATTGTTAAGTTAGTAACTGGAGAGTTGAAAATAATCTTTATGAAACTTATAATGGAAAAAGAAATATTAAATAAACTTTTAAATGCAGTTAATGGATAACACATCAAAGGATTTTACGCTGTCTATACTCCAGTGGAATGAACAAAGTATTAAGCCCAAAATAGTTAATTTTGAATCCCTGTTGATACAAGAAAAAATACATATAGCAATTGTGAGTGAAACGTGGTTGGCTGAGAGCTCGCCTCTAGGAATAAGTGAATATAACATTTTTAGGAAAGATAGATGCGACTCATATGGTGGTGTGGCTATAATGACACATAAATCAATTAAGGCGCATCAATATTCAATAAGTACAAGCAATACTGGTTTAGAAGTAGTTTATGTCAAAATCTTCAATTGTAAGTACCTTGAAAATGTTTTATCTATTTACTGCCTATCTTCTGTTAGAACATCTTCAACTGACTGGAATAACATATTCGCCCTTTGCCCACGCAAATGTGTCATTGGAGGAGATTTTAATGGTAATAATATAAAAAATGGTTTAACACCAACTGGTCTAATAAAATTGACACCAGAGGGGCACAATCGTTAGACAGTTCCTTGGATTTCGGTTTCATATCAACAAATAACGGAGAAGCTACCAGAATTAAACTTGTAAATGGTTGTCTTCAAAAATCTTCACCTGATATAACATTTGTGTCTTCCGATATTGCTATATACTTTAATTGGCACATAACTAACGAAAATCTTGGTAGTGATCATTTGATTATTAAATCTTACATTAAATTCAAAGACGTCCCACGTTACGTTCAAAAAAGAAAATTCTCATCAGCTGATTGGTCCTCTTATAAAAGAGATCTTGAAGCTTCATTTCAAAACCCCGTATGGACAGGTGATGATATACAAAGTATGTATAACCACATTGAAAAAGAGATTAATAAAGCAGCAAATGAACATATTCCTATAACTAAAATCAGTATTGACCCAGAAAAACATTTTAAACCAAAAGTATATTGGAACCCATGTTTATCAAAAATAAATTTTTTAGAAGAA